AGAGAGATGTTGTCATTGCTTGAAGCCAGCACCTGTGGGGAAAGAGATTGGGAAAGGAAAGCAAAAAGCAGCAGCCATCTGGTTGCAAGAAAACAATACTTTAGGAAAATGTGTGCAAATTGTTACTACATCACTTGTGTAATACAGTAATGAGTTTTGTATAAGCAGAGATGTGGGCTGAAGAAGATTTTTAAAAGACAGTAAGGTGTTTACTTTTAGAAAAGAAAATAATTGTCATCTGTCCTACAAGATTGTGTCTTACTTTGTTTATAAACATGTCTGGCAGGCACTTCACATTCGGCCTGTGAGTACCTAATTTATGGGCCACTAAGTAATTTAGATTCTAGACGCTTGTCACTGCAGATTATACAAAGGGGAGATAAGAGAAACCTACTTTTTGTTATAAGCCAGCGGTATGGGTGCAGCTGTCATCAGTAATGCCCAGAAATCAGTATTAATTGTTGTCTAGCAGCATATTTAATTGGCTTGAGTAGGAGCCTATTCTTTTAGTTTTCCACCTCACAAAGATACCCCCTGGGACACGAACACTGCTGGTTTGTAACGTGTTATCCAGATTTATGGGTCTACAGAAATACTTAGAAATCTTCTAGAGCTCCACAGTGCTTTTTAAGATTGGTTGAAGCTGTTAATATTTTTTTGATCTCTACTTCTCCTGTCACAGAACAGTATGTGCAGTAGTCCTTTGCATATGAAAGTAAACATAAATTATAAAATAGCTCTGTGTAAAAAAAAAAAAAAAAAGCAGTATCTTTCAGGGTAAGCAGAATATGCATATGCTGATTGTGAGACCAGCAATATGTAGTACTTGATGGAAAACAGCACAGTGTAGATTGTTAAAATCACACAACCCCAAACTTACTGAGCTTTCTACATAATTTCTCTCTGTCCTTGTTGGAGAATCAGTGCAAAGACCACAGGCAGCAAAAGAACACTTAAGGCAATTTGAGTATCATGCTGATTCAATGTAATTTTTGCCTTTCCAAGTCCTTATTGGAAGCAAAGAAAAGATTGTATGTGTATTGTATGTATATATGCAGTGTTCTGACTGCACAGCACAAGGATAAAACCTCAGTGCTTTATCCCACTCTTCCTTTGTTCTTAGTTTCTTAGTCCTGTTCTTTCATACATATTTACAATTTACAAATACTTTGATACGGCTGTCAACTCTGTCATTTCAGCAATGAGACTACTATTAGTCATAAAAATAGTAATCCACCAGGCTTGACCTCTTCGAAAAGGATCAAATGACAGCCTAGCAAAAATAGGATGACTGAACATTTATGAACATCATACAAGCTTTACTTCTGTTTTCCTAACAGATTATTTGTATTGGTAAAAATTACTAAAGCTGTAGTGAAATATGTTTTAGACAAATGATATCTACAGCTTTCGAACAGCTAGAAAGGAACATCTGTCAGATTTTGGTATAGCTGTGGCTATGTAAGAGTAGTTTTAAAATCTTTTCTGTAGAGCTACTGTATTGGCTGTCTTGTCCTGCCCCATCTTATAGTTAATGCCTGTTTCCCATTACTGACCTTTATGCTTATTGTCAAGATTCATTAGAACTTTTGAAATAGTATTACATCATTTCATCCGCTTCCCTTCTGTGTATAAATCTCTGATCATCGGCTTTTTCAAATAAACACTGACACAAAAGGAATCCAGAACCTCAGGGCAGTAACTATCTTCCCTTCTGTTTCAGAAAGCATGAAGTGCACTGTTGTTTTTTCCAATAATACACAGACGCTGTGTCATACAAACATATAAGCAGCTTTGCAAAGGAAAAGAACTGATATGTAGCTATCAATCTTTTAAATTAAAATTAAATTGAATTTGATCAAGAAAGTTTAAATTCCCACTCTCTATATTATCAAGTGGCAAAGAAATAGCAAGTTTGAAGTCTCATTGCATTTTTCCATAGAGCTGGCTTTCAAGTAGTACCTCATGTCATCTAAGTTCAAGGTGGAGACATGGACTGAGCACAGGACACGGCACGGAGGTATCATTAACACCATCAAGGTTGAGTTCAACTCTGAACTTGGAAAGTCTTTGCTTAAACAAAGAACATATAGTTTTCACCAAGTTAAAGAATTATTCCAGACAATTTTAACTAAACTAAAATAATTTATGAGATGTTTTTTGTCCTGAATTGTTGTAATAAGATTCTACCTTTAGAAAAGTTTGATAATGGAGTAATGCAGACTCTAAATCCTTTCATCCAAGAAAGTTGTATATAAGTTAGCTCCAAGAATTCAGGATATAATTAAAACTATTACCAGTGTTCAGGTAACTATAAGCAATAGCTAAGACAGAGGTCAGTAGTTGATAAAAGGTAATTGGCCCAATCACTGGGTTTTTTTCCTTTAGCATATTTTCATACTGTTCTAAATTAGGAGTCACTGACGAGAAATGGGTCAGGTTACCAGCAGGGGCTTCCACACTAAGTGACTTAACCTCAGTCATTAAGGGTCAGTGGCTCTGGCTGGTTTGCTCACTAGTCCTCAAAAAGTGCACTGCAGCAGTGCGAGCTGAGGTGACGCAGCTCAGGCAAAGCCCTTCAAAGTTCAAGGATACTGGGATGAGTGAGGTGCTTGCTGGAAGCACCTTAGTTAACATGTCATGGAAAGGTCATCTTGGCAATACAATTCCTGACTGCAGACACAGGTTTACCCTCCTTCTTATCAAGTCCATTTATATCTGTGTTCCCCAAAAACATGCCTTCCTCACATGAAACCGTGTCACGTCTTCATTTGGTTCTCCACACTGTTCTTCAGTGGCTGCGAAACCAAAAAGGACATGTAGATTTTGCATCCTTGTCTTCTGTTTCAGAAGTCTTCTGGTTTAGAAATGTCAGTGGAAGAAATTTATATTCAGAGCATTCAGAGTCTTGAATTCATAAAACTTGTATGTACTGGAGATACCAGAGGTACTGTTCAAGATTTTTCGTCACTCTTACTGATGTCTTTACCATGGAGACAAGCCTCTGGGCATGAGAAAGAAGTTTTTTTTCATTCAAGTATAACTACAGTCTTCCCAGAAGAGATGAATACTGGTGGAGTCAGTTGTGACAGATTTCTATTGCAATGATAATTGAGTACCGGAAATCGCCTGTTTGATGTCAGCCACAGGCTGAAGTTAGAGGTGTTAAATATAACTTGTGCTGCACCTGAACTGCTGAACTAAGAGCTGACTCCTTGAGCCATCCAACTGCTTGGACTAAACTTTTAAAGTGAGGTTAAAGATTAAGGATGTAAAGTTTTGCCTTTTGTTACTGTTCTCTTTTAGACGGCAGAATAGACCCTTGTATAAATTGGTTTAGTGCCCTTCTGTGCAAACACTGAGTCTCACATACTTCTGTGTATTTGTGTTTCAGTAAAAGTACTAAATTGTTCCTACTGCAGTCTACAACAAGCTCCCAGGCTGAAATTCTCATCCAGCATCTTTTTTTCTGGCCCGCAGAGGTTGCAATCTAGTCACTTTGCATACGAAAACCATTATCTTAAACACTTCCCCTCTTTTGTCCCATCTGCCCCTAGAATGCTGCTGTGACACAGCATGATACATACAGCACAGCAGCTTTAAAAAATCCCCAAATATGCCTACCACTCCTCATCTCCCCCCACATTCAAGTCTGATTTTCACCGAAATTCAAGCTGGGCAGGGCCCTTCTCACACAGCCAGTGCACAAAGGGAGGTAACTGCCTGCTTAAAGCTGCAGCCACTCCTCTCTTTGCCATCTGCCTGCTTCAGATGCTTTTGTTCATATCTGCATAAAAAAATCGTTTGAATTACTGTAGAACAAATAATTGCTTCTAATGAGTAGCATCTTAGATGGGTGAATCATGCCTGCGTACTTTCAGCTCAGTGATTCAGGCTAGCACACCTTCACTTTTATTTCAGTTGTCTAGGTTTCAACAAAAGATCAGTTGCACAGCTAAGCAGATGAGTGGTTACTTAAGTAGTAGTCACTTTCTCACTTCTGTCTGCCCATAATGTGTTTTAATTATCCTACACCTAACTAGATTGAGGCAAAGCTGAAAAAACAGTCTTCCAAAATAGGTCTCCATACAAAACTTTTATGCAGTAATGTCTAAAGTAGCTCTTTTGATTGTTTGGAATTTTGTTTGTTGGGGTTTTTTTTACATAAATAAACGCATACCACACATTCAACACTTTGTAATGCTAAATTCCTAACTCGTTACAGCTATATTCAAAAAGCAGAGATACCCTGTCCTGACACTTTTCTTCTCAGTCACAGCCACCGAACCATGCTGCAGAAGACGCTGCTGTAGAGGGAACACTAGTGGCGGGTTTCGGCAGTGCCCCGAGCGCATGCATGCAGTCCTCGGTGATGCACGCTGTGGCGTAGGATAAGTAGAACCGGGGAAGTGTTTCAGTGCCATCTGTGGCTATCTGTCTGATACAAGCAAAAGGTTGATCCACATCCACCTTGAAAACTGCATGCAGACTTCTGCTGTGTGTCTTGATGGGGGCCATTGGGTTGAGTAAGATGTCTCCAGAGCACACAGAAATATTTCAGTAACTCGATGTTTTAATTGCACTTGTAACTTTTTGTTATTTTGGTGACGAGTGCTTCTAATGGGAATTTTGCATATGCATGCTAGTATTTATCCCAGCACCTCATTTCTTACAACCTGTATGAAGGGTCTGGCAAAGGCAGTTCAAGGGTGGCAAATTTACTGCTGTATTTGTGTTAAAGTAGCCTGAAGAGAACATAGATGAGATTGGGTTCTTAAGCACAGAGAGAGTCTCTACCATAAGAAGCTTCCAAGCTACGAGACAAGAGACAAAGGAGGACATCTTATCCAAACTTGTAACAGGAACTAAAATAAAAAGGGCTGGACTAACTAACATCTTCAGGCAGTCTGTACTTTGAATCAGGAATTAACATTATTTTGTGTTGCTAATATGATCTTAGCTTTCCTTTTTGAGAGGTTTTTTTTTTTTTCCCGATAGCATGTAAATATTGCTTATTAATCGTAATACTTTATTATTTTTCAGCCTCCCCACATTAACAGCAGTATGCCACGGGTCAGAAGTTTTGTACTCTCTTTTATAAGTCACCAGGATGACCCTATACCTACTGAAGGTGATACTGAAAATGACTTGGACGTTGGATCCGGAGCCACCAATCAGACTGGATCGTTCCTGCGTGAACAACGAACAGTGTCAGTGCAGACAGCAAGATACCTCACGAGTCCGTGGCTGACGCGTTTTGTTCCTTCAGTTTACACCTTAGTGCTTGTGCTGAGTCTCCCTCTGAACATTACAGCGATACTCGTGTTTCTGAAAAAAATGAAAATTGAAAAGCCAGCTGTAGTGTACATGCTGAATTTGGCCCTTGCAGATGTCCTGTTTGTAAGTGTGCTTCCTTTTAAGATTGCTTATCACTTTTCTGGAAACGACTGGGTTTTTGGACCTCAGATGTGCCGTTTCATCACTGCTGCCTTCTACTGTAACATGTACTGTTCAATAATGCTTATGACGAGCATAAGCTTCGATCGCTTCTTAGCGGTGGTGTATCCCATGCAGTCTCTTGGGTGGCGTACATTAACACGTGCCTCGCTGATTTGTTTCATCATATGGCTTGTAGCAATAATTGGTGTTATACCTTTTCTCATCAGAGAGCAAACAATGGAAATACCCAAGTTAAATATAACTACTTGTCACGATGTGCTAAGAGAATCTGAACTTCATGGCTATTACCTCCACTTCTTCTCCATCTTCTCTTCTGTGTTTTTTGTAGTGCCATTTATAATTTCTACTGTCTGTTACGTGTGTATCATTCGATGTCTTAGTTCTTCTACCATTGTTGCAAAACAAAATAAGAAGACACGTGCCTTGCTCTTGTGTGTGGCTGTTTTTTCTGTTTTTGTTATTTGCTTTGGACCAACAAATGTCCTCCTATTAATTCATTATATCCATTTTTCTTATGATAACAGCTTAGAGTATCTCTACTTTGCCTATCTACTCTGTGTTTGTATCAGCAGCATTAGCTGTTGCATTGACCCTTTTATTTACTACTATGCTTCTTCTCAGTATCAGAGACAATTTTTCAGTCTCTTCAACTGTAAAAAGACTTTAGATCCTAACAGTAGTAACAGTAGTGGCCAGTCAGTGTCTACCACAAGTAGAAGGGCTACGTGCTCTACTAATGTGAATAACAGTGTCTACAGGAAATTACTAGCAATGCATTGAGATAACGTGTCTTACACATGCTTAATTCTTAGACTATTTCAGACAAAAAAACCCCTGTATTATATCCAAGAAATGCAAAACCTTAAACCAACTTGTTGTACAATACATAGTTCTATGGATTCATTATAGTAATGCACGATTCAAATAACTCTGTATATGTATATATACAGTATATGTAAATAGGTTAATGTAGAGGGGAAAAGTAATTTCTTCATAATAGTTGTTGAGTGTTTTTCAAATAAACTACTTTTTTTTCAGACAAATCCTTTGCATTGTTAGTTCAGTTTATTGCAGGGGTTTTATGAAATTCCATTTTAAGATTTTGAACTGCATCAGGTTGATTAAATTCTTACTTATGGAACCATTCCATCTATCCAGTACTTCCTGAGGAAAGTGAAAATATCTTTCCAGGCTTTTTTTTTTTTTTCCTAATTGGCATTATTTCTGGAATTGTGTGTAAAATTCATTTTCTTAGCATTATTTTGCATCTTGGACACTGAAACTTTATTTTACATTTTTATATATTCCACTTCAAAACAGACTGTATGGTTCTAGGAATGTAAGCAACTGAAATACAGCTGTTGATTGGTGCAGTGTGTCAGGGGAGATAATTCTCAGCAGCTAGAACTAGCTTTTCCTTTGGTGTTTCTACCATTAGTGTACGCTACGCATCTTGGTTAGGAATGCAGTATTTTTCATGATTTATTTCACAAAAAATTGCGAAATTTTATTTCACAATAAATCAATGTTGAATGGCTCTCCAGAAAATATACTGAAAAAGCCGTATTCATCATCTTGTTACAGAGTTTGCAAATGTGTGCTTTTGTGTATGTGATTAATCATCATGCACGTGTTTAGGACTTGGAAATATCCTTTATCTCTGCCAAGTCTGGATGTTTTTTATGTTTTACATTGTGTTCACATCTACTAAAATTGCTGTGGTACAAAGCCCAATAGCCAACTTCATTTTATGTAGCATTCTTTTACTACAAGGGAGGCTAAAGCTGAATAACAGGAACTCAGTTTTAGAAACAATCGTGTAGGTAATAGGACTGTACACAAAAATGGAAATCAAATTAAGTAGGGATTTAGTTAATGTAGGATTTGCCATAGGAATCTGCCAAGAAGTACAGCGATGTTTAAAAGATGTCTTCAGTCCAGCACAAAGGGTGAGAAACCTAATCTTTTTGCAGTACAGTGTGACAGTGAGAAACTTCTTTCTGACCATGATCTCTTGTCGATTTGTGTCTGTTCCTTGATGGACCTAAGTATAATTAAGTATTGTATTACCACGGTCTATATTTTTGTTCTCAAGTATTTGCTAATTTCTAAGTACATGAGCACTAAAAATACATGTATATGGAGTTAGAAAGGCTAAACCCCCACAAATGTTCAAGAGACATACTCAGTTACATTCTCATTTTCTTTAATGTCATATTAGGGGTAGTTTTGGTATTCAGCAAAATCCAAATGCATCTTAAGACTACGAACATCCACTTCTTGCTGGCAGAAGAAATTACCTCTGTGCTTTATGTAGTTACAAGCTGGGGGACTGCTCTTTAGATCTATTACATGGTTGGAATTTGTTTCAATGTCACAATGTTTTGTTTCATGACAGTGGGGGTTTTTTAGGTAGCCAAAAGGGACTGTCTAGTCTGCTTTGCAAGGGGCAGTATTACATGCTAGGGTGGAAGGAAATGTACGTGGAAAACAGCACGGCAATCATAGCGATTATTTATGTGGTTTTGCTCTGTGCTTGGGTGGTTTCACTTGTAACCTCTGTGTGCTCGAGAACATTTGCAAATGAGCAACTTCTTCCTACCTTATAGGGTGAAAAAATGAGAGGGGTGAATGCAGCTGTTTATCCTCATGGCTAAGAGCATCAAAAAGATCCTGAATAAGAATGACTAAAAAAGATTTTATGCATGTTTGTAAACCAGTATCCCAGCTCTGCCACACACACTGCTGAAGTTGGGTTTGCTGATGATCCGGCTTGCATGCAAGTGAAAAAAAAATAAAAAAATAAGAAAGGCAATTACACCACAGAACCTTTAAATAAAAAGGACTGACAAACCTAAGTAGACTTCCTGACTTCTTGGTAATGAGCTAAAATGCTGAAGTTGCCTTTGGAAAGTATCTTTAGGTTGCCTATGCATGTTTGAAAATGCAACACTTGACAGGCTTGAGGAGGGGGCCCATGCAAACTTCATGAAGTTCAACAAAAAGACAAGTACAAGGTCCTGCACCTGGATCAGGGCAACCCCTGGTATCAACACCGGCTGGGGGGTGAAGGGATTGAGAGCAGCCCTGCAGAGAAGGACTTGGGGGTACTGGTGGATGAAAAGCTGGACCTGAGCCAGCAACGTGTGCTTACAGCCCAGAAAGCCAACCATATCCTGGGCTGCATCAAAAGAAGCGTGGCCTGCAGGTCGAGGGACTTGATTCTGCCCCTCTGCTCCACTCTGGTGAGACCCCACCTGGAGTACACCAGCATGTGTCCGGCTCTGGGGTCCTCAGCACAGGAAAGACATGGACCTGTTGGAGCAGGTCCAGAGGAGGGCCACAGAAGTGATCAGAGGGGTGGAACACCTCTCCTGTGAGGACAGGCTGAGAGAGTTGGGGTTGTTCAGCCTGAAGAAGAGAAGGCTCCGGGGAGACCTTATAGTGACTTTTTAATACTTAAAGGGGACTTAAGAGAAGGACTGAGACTTTTTACCAGGGCCTGCAGTGACAGGACAAGGAGTAATGATTTTGATCCGAAAGAGAGTAAGTTTAGATCAGATATAAGGAAGAATTTTTTTTACAATTAGGGTAGTGAGACACTGGAGCAGGTTGCCCAGGGAGGTTGTGGATGCCCCATCCCTGGAAGTGTTCATGGTCAGGTTGGATGGGGCTCTGAGCAGCCTGATCTGGTTGAAGATGTCCCTGCTCCTTGCAGGGGGTTGGACTAGATGACCTTCAAAGGTCCCTTCCAACCCAAACCGTTCAATGATACATGCATACGCATGCTATTTATATTGATGCTCTGCAAGTGCTTCTAGCAAGCTTCTTGCTAGCCTGCTAAATACGGAGAGGTGATTAACAAAATTACCACACAGCATAAAACATACAGCAAATGTCACCTTTTCATAGCAAATGCAGCATTAACAGTTATTCCTCCTTTTAAGCTCTCACACCTAGTGTCATACCTCTGCTTTCTGTTTATATTTTGTTGAGGCTTCAGCTCAATTGGATTGCAAAAAGAAGCAAACTGCTATGTGACTGGAGGAGTCTCATACCAAGGCAGTGGCAGCTCAACTCTTTCTGAATTTGGCATTTCTGTGCAACTGGTTAGTTGGAACATGCTACAGTTATGAGTCTCTGTTTTGCTGCTGTATTTGATGGCAAGAAGAAGGGCAAGACCTGCTCAAGCAGCCGTTTATGGAGCCAACCTCAGGCACAAACAGCATCTGCAAAATAGGTTATAACTACTGAGCATGGCCACACAGCAAAGCACAATGTGGTAAGCTTTTGAGGAAACTGAACTACAAGAGCACTGCAATTTAGACTGAATGCTTAAGCTAACAGGAAAACCTAACCATCTCTTCATGCTTGATGCACCCTTGCGCTGCTAGCTGGGAAAGAAAATGAACCTTTTGTTTCAAGGGGAAAGGGAAGCAGTAAAAATCTGACCAAAAGAAATGAAGCCCATTAATGTTACTTGCTGTTTCACCCATTCCATCTCCTCCTCATTTTGGGTTTTTTTTTTTCATAATGTCAGGGTTAAGCTGCATCATTTGCTGTATGAAGCAAGCTAACAAACAACATTTGGAGATGAGAAGGTGTCAGGCACTAAACATACATGAGAAAGCTTGCTAATATTCCAGATATGCCAGCTTCATGTTGAGGCAATACTGGCAAGGGCAAGATTTGTAATCAGCATGGTTTCTGTTGGCAAAACACCTCATATAGCAGCTGTGATTGGTATAACTTATTTCACAGGGGAAGGTTTGCATAATTTAGCGTGGCAAGGATTTTGCAGGGATTGCTGCGTTCGCACTAGAAGCATTTCATCAGTTAATGCCAAGCATGCATCTGCCTTACAACCTGCTCCCTGCAGCCTGACTGCAGACAAAGTATGTTCTGCTGGCTGTCAGCTCTGTTTCCCTATTTAGTTGAATCCTAACCAGAAATATGAGCATGGTTCACAATGGTTTGCATCAGGCAAACTGGATCAGGCCATGGGATCTCTCCCTACTTGAGACAGGATCCAGAAATACAAAGAGTGTAGAAGCTGGCTAGCCGATCACCAGCTATGGCTTTGCACCAGAGCTCTCCAAGAGCTGGGGGAGGAAAGAGAAGGGCCTGGTGTGCTGGGTGCAATATTTAAGTCAATTCCTGGGTAAGGCCTTTTTATTGATCATTTTCATCTTTTTTGATCTGATTACAGTTTGATCTTGCAAGATGCTGAGCAAATTAAAAAATTAATGAGACCTCTCACGTATTTAAAATGAATGAAACCTCTCACACGTTTAAAATTAATAACCCACGTAAGTGCTTTTTCATGGCATTTTGTATTTTGCAAGTGCTATAGAAATGGTATAGTGATAGCTAATACAGCTGGAGAAGCTGAACAAATAACATGCTATAATCCAAGTCAACACTAGAGAGCATTAAAATAACTAGGTATGGCTGTTGTTAATTTGGCTTGTTGGGGGGGAAACCATAAGGAACCAGATCTGAACATCACACTGAACTGTGAAATACTGATTAGCCCTCTAAAAAAAATGTGGATTTGGAAAGGTGAAAAAGTATTGAAAATGTGTTGGAAAAGTGGGTGACAGTATTTTAAAAAGAACCTGTAAAAAGGTTCAGCAAAGTTATGGGGAATAATTTCTCTTACCTTTGTGCCTTATACCAGCCTTATAATAGTGGTGCCTGTAGCACCACAAACAAGCTTCTCTCCTAAAAAAAAAAGGCCTGACATTTAAAGCATGGCACTAAGCTCAAATACATGGCACACAGCAACATAACTCCATCAAGGTCAGAGTTGATGAAGACAACCTACAGTGAAAATCTGGTTTGGTGTTCCCTCACCAAAATAAAAATTAATGAAATTGAGCAAATCCATCTTCATTCTGTAGTAAGACTGGGAAAAATCACTCTCCTTACCTTTGTTTGATCAGGTTTGGGGTTTGTGTTAGGAATTTG